AATGTCCGCGCCTTCGGTCACGAGTTTGAGGACCAGATCTCTCTTCCCATCACTCGATGCCCAGTGAAGAGGTGTTCTGTCCGTTGAATCGCCGGCTCTTGACTGCAATTTAATGTCCAAAATGAGTATCAATTCATTCAATGCACTAATAATTACCATTTCGTCGATTTGTCTTCACTTTAATCGTTAAAAACTAAATGAGTTTTAATTTAATTTCAAAACTTATTTCAAAACCAATTTTGCAAATCATTTGAAAAATTTTAACAAATCATTCATAAATAACGTTACAATAAAAATTTAAGTTACAAATTGGCGGCAATTTATACATTTCAAAATATAATCAGGGCACTTTATTAAATTAGTTACAATCAAATTAACTAATGTAAACTCCGTTTATTTGTCTGTCTAGAAATATATAATTAAAAAATTCATATAATTTCAAAACATTTTAAAAATTTTAGTCATTTGTACAACAAATTCATATTTTATGACTTTTTAAAATAAATTTTTATGTTTTAAAAACATTAATAAATTCTATTAAATTGTGAAAAATTATATTAAACTTATCGATGCCTTAGTTTTTTCATTATTAAGTAGACATCAATTGGGATACCATTTGTTTCCATTAATTCACATACAATATAATGAATGTACGAATAAATGGCTCAAATGGCAGTGTATGCACTTCTCTCTCGGTCTTCTGACCCGAGAAACCATTTCTTAATTCGATATCTTATGGATTGTTCCGGATTTAAATACAGTTGACTCACGGCAAACACGTATTCACTCGGTTCCAGCTTAAGATCGTTGTGGCGAATGACAGGCACTGTATTGGCGGCCAAATAGGTGTTGGCAGAGGTCATGATAATTGACGGCCAAATCGTATGTTTGACCGAAAGGCCGAGAATACTCGGCGCCAAAACACTGGACCCAATCATTGATAACGGAATTAACGATATATAACGCCATTTAGTGAAATCCAAACGACCTCTTGAGCCCAAAACTACTCCCAAATCACACAAATCGCTGGAACCCATGGCGTATAGAAACGCTTTGGCAGTGCTTTGCGTTATCGCATAACTTATGAGAAAGCTTAACGATGCCGTCTATGAGATGACAATTAATTAATGTAATTATTAGCACTCAATTCATTGCATAATAAAACATACAATTATGATAAGCGTTGTTAACGCAAACTTTCTTCTGATAGATTGGGAGACAACGAGTAAAACGACAAAAACGCAAAGTGGAAACCCTATGAATGAGGTGTAAAACAACGGATCGAAAACCCATTTGCGAAATATTTTCCTTAAATGTGGTCTGAATTACAATGAAATCGAGTTAAGAGTTTTATCATATGAGAGAGTGATTTACATGTATGTAAAAAGTGCGATAAGAACACAAAAGAGGCTCTTTTGTGCGCAAAGAATTGCGTAAACTTTTTGCATAAATAGTGTGCGGGTGTTGTTGTCGGCCAAACCCGTCGGTCGGTATTCCTCTTCGGGAGGCGCCGATGGGATGCCGTTCGGTGTCATCTCACGAGTCGGTTCTGTCAAAACAAAGTTTTATAATTTATAAACACATATTTTATACAAAAAAGAGTTAAATGAGTATTAAATGAAACGAAAACAATACCAATACTATTATGAAACTCATTGGCACTAATCAAAGGCCTGTTCTCCTGATGATGACTTTGGTTATCATTGTCTTCGTTGTCATCCAATTGAATGATCTTTGGTTTGGTTTTCTTCGACTTTTTAAACGACAAAACTTTTGTTGCCATTGTTTTAGTCGATTCTTACGTTAATTTATTTATAAGTAGTCTTAAAAATGTAGTTAAAAGTAAATATAATATTTTTGCTGCAAAAACAAAAACATGACTGAAAAGTGTAGACAAGAAAACAAGTTATAATGAAAATAAAGGGATAGACAAGTGATCTGTTATTTGAATCAAATAATTTTATGGTAACATAAACTTCTGTAAACACTAAACATAATACTATCACTACATTGCAGGCAAAGACTGTACCGCAAAAATGTTAGTTTAAGTTTCAAATTAATTAGCATTTAATTCAATACATTGATTGTAACCCATATTAAAGTGTAGCAAAGTATTGGTGTCTCCTTTCGTATCCCTCTCTCCATATCAGACATCAATTAATGTATTGATATTTCAAACATTTTAAAATGTTTTAAATGTTTCAAATATTGTAAACTTTATATTATTTGATACTTTTATATAACTGTAAGATATTCTTCTGGAGCCATAAGCTTATGGTTTGATTAATTCAATTATAAATCCACTGAATATGGGAGGCGTGGGTGAGGGAGGGGTGGGCTATAAGGGGGTTGTGTTTGTTTGGCGTAAAGTTGTGACACTTTTGGCACAAATGTATTGAAAGGGGTTTTGAATGCAGTGTTTGTGTGAATGCGATAACAAGTGGTGACAACTTGTGATCAAAACTCGCATTCATTTCACATGTTTTTCGCTTTGAAAACACATTTCAATTGATAAACAATCAGACGATCGGCGAAACCATCGATGAATCGGTTCCACACTTTCACCAAAAATGAGTCTTCGGACGAGTCATCAG